TGTGTTAGAGTCAGCATGAAAACGTTTGTTTATCAGTGTAATAAAAACAAATGTTTGTTTGGTCAGTAATGTATTAACATAACTGTCTGATTGGATGGTCGATGATGGGTCAGCATCGTCATCCCTCGCTCGCTGCGTTCTTCAGACATTTTGTTTTAAACTTCAGTGGACAGGAGGAGAAAGTTGTGCCTCAGGATGGTCAGAAGAACCAACACCTCCGACTGCAGATGGAAGAAGATCATTGTGATGTTACCTGACTCCTTCAAGTTGGAGCTTTCAGTCTCCTCACTGAGCAGATTGAGGTGGTTTGTTGATCTATATATATATATAAAGGGCGACTCTCAGCAAAGCCTCTGCGCAGCTGTAACACCACATCCAGCCCACAACTGTTGGTGTGTTCAGGTTAAATGTTTCCTCCCTGTCGTCTGCACATCAAGAAAGGACCTGGGTCACAAAAACGCCTCGTCCATGGAAGCCTGTGCTGTCTTTATAAAGGCCAACAGTACTTGTTTTATGCCCAAACCCAGTTTAAACTGGTGTCACACAGGACTAACTCTGGACCCTAGTACATAAAAAGGCTCTACCTCAGCAACATCCAACAACACAGCACAGAAACCAGCTCTGCGACATGTGGAAACCACAGACTAGTTTGAGTATGTGAGGCAAAAACACAGCTGAGACAGGAGACCAGTCCAGGTAACTGGGGTTGTGTGTCACCTACACTCGTAATCTGGAGTTGTTTGTTTTTCCAGTGAAATCATTGCACAGGATACGACTTTATATTTCTCTGGTCTATAACTCCAGCCCACTGCTGTGTGGATCCTGACAGAGCTGACCTGGACCACCGGCTTTGCCACCAACAAACCTGATCCCAGCTGGATATTTGGCCTCTTGATTCCTGGTAAGGAACGCTTTAAGGAAGTCGACTGACAGTCGGTGGATGTGTGGAGGAGGTTGGTCCGAGTGTCTGCAGCCATCACACAGTGGATGGGCCAGACCAGCACCAGCACAGACAGGTCTGTGACTGAACAGTGAGGTACATGTACAACTCGGGGATCAGTATCCTGTCTGAGGAGGCTTTGGCGTGCTTTCTGGAGCAGCACACTTTGATTATCTGCAAAGCTTCTGATTGGCTGCGTCTTCATTGCTGCCACACTGACCGAGCAGTAAAAAGCTAGCTTGGTTATTTACATGCAGTGGCTGATAACAGACAACAACAACATCTAAAGAACGACCCGTCTGCTTCGGACTGGACTTGAAGCGTCACTGTAATCCTTTCCTGTGTCGTTCACCTTTGACCTTTGACAGCCGTGGTTTAAATGGCTCTATAAATGCTCTGATCACTTAACCTTGCTTTTCCCTGTTCCAGGTTGTTCTTGCTTGACCGTGTTTCTTTGCTTTGTGGTTGATTTGTGTCCCGGCCTCTTTGTTTTGCAGATGAGGGCAGGAGTGCAGTTGACCTGGCAGGAGGGGCTCAGATAGTAGCTGAACACATAAAGGCCCTCTCCCAAAATACTGAGCCGGGGAATGAGAAGCTCTTGACTGTCTTTTGTGGCATGCTGATGAACTATAGCAATGATAATGGTAATGACCATCTTCCCCAAAGAAGCTCTTAACTCATCCTGACTAATGAGGATCTGTTTCAGCGCAGAGACAGTAGAATCTGAGACTCTTTTCTCGCCTGGTTTCTACTCTCCTGTGCTCTCTACTGTTCTTTGTTTCAGCTTCACATCTAATGTGCCATCATTGCTGCGAGGCTAGCGCTGCTCCATACCTCATGTTGCTCTGCCTGACTGCAGGGGGCGTGTCTGTCACTGTCATTCGGCTGTAAGCTTTTGTTGTTGACGTTTGTGTGTCGGCTGGTCAGCAGCAGCTGACTTAGACTTAGACCGTCTAAGTCTTACAGACACGAACAATCATTCACACTTAAACACGCACACGTGTAAATGTCTAATATCGAGGTGTTCATGTCTTTTTTGATGTTAAATGCAGTTACACTTTAAAACAGGACGATTTCTAACATGAACATTTCACTTTGAAAGACCAGTGTTGTTGTTTTTATTGTCGCTCATTAATAAAAGTATTTATGTGACGAACTCATCGACAGATCAGTAGAATAATCACGAGCTGCAGTTGTTTCACATGTCGGTCCAGAGACATGGATAATGTCTGCATCTGTTGGTTTGGAGACCGACACAGTTTAACTCGTCAGCTGTGAAAGGCTGATGGGGCGGCGCCCAGCTGGGTGTCGTGGGCGTCGCCCCTCTGGGTGGCGTGGTCACTCGAGTTTGTGAATGCGATTACATGACAGTGAGGTGACGTAGGTCTTTATAAATCAAACCAGAAGTGAGGTCAAAGGTCATGTTTTCTAAAAATCCTGTGACTGTGAATAAGGTGAACATCATGGGTGCTTCTACTGAAAATCTTTGACCTCAAGGTCAGAGGTCATAGTTTCTAAAGATCACATTTATTTGTAGGTGACCCTAGATGGAGGCTGAGAGGTGGCACTGGTGTGGTTGACTCTTCACGTGTAGCTGCTGTAATGACACAGGGTTTGATCATAGGCTA